TTTATAGCAGCCACAGTCGGAGATTGTTGGAATATGCAGTAATGGTTTATTGAAATGGATGCGGAGCTTAGAGCCAATTTCTAGCACTCAGGCTAGAGTCAAAATGCCAACGATTGGTGACAGTTCACAGATCTCAGCAAAATAGACAGGGAGACTGTGATCTGAGCCGAGTGGTGGTGTGCCAATGGCCCTCCACCAGCTGGGCCCGGGGCGTCTGCAGCCCTTCCCCAGTGCACTTCAGTGTGCGCCAAAGCGCTATGAAAGCACTTTTCCCTTGGGGAGGGAAAGGGATTTGACTGCATGTGTTCTGTAGTTTATAAAACCCCAAAATAAAATATAAACAAAGCAGAAGAAACATTTGCAATAGATTTAACAGATCAAGTCTTATTGGTTTTGTAATGAAATGCCTCTTCCTTTAGCAGTAGTCTTCAGCCAACAAAAAGGTGAGGAAAGGATAGTTTGTAGAAGAAATACAAATAGTCACAATAAAAAAATTCATTACAAAAAAAAATTCATTACTGAGGCCAGAGAGATAGTCCAGGAGGTAAAGCACCTGCCTTGCACTTGGCCACTTCAACTGTGACCCTACTTTTAGTCCAGGTATCACATATGCCCCTGGAATATTGCCGGAAGTGACCCCCTAAGTTACCCTCGGTAACTCCGGAGCCCATGGGAGCTACTTAAATAATTTAAAAATTATTTAAAGGTATTTTTTTTGAGGAAGTAGTAAGAGTCATCTTTACAAACACATTTCATTATCACCTGAAATTTTTACTGGCCTATAGAATTCCCATAAGGAAGGAACACAGTGACCATACAGGTAATTCTACTATTTCAATTTTATCAAAAGCTATGGAAATAGATGGTAATATAGCAAATTTTAAAAAATTCCTATAGCAATATTATGTCAACAGGTCAATGAACACATTTCAACATATGTTTATTTGGGTCATTAAGTCTGGTTGTCAATATAAATATTTATATACACACATATGCACCATTTGCATACACATGTAAATTGCACTATATTATTTTTAAGGGAAAATAAAATCTATGAATAAAATGAAACAAGCTTTCCTTTGGATGTTTGCGTGAGCTTAGGATAAAATAAAGTTTCCCAGGATTCAAAAGAAAAGAGCATCAAATAGTTTAGAGGCACCAGGATAGAAACTATGTATACTTACATTACAACTTAATGATTAGACAGTGATTTTAGCTCATGCTTATTCAGTGCCCTTACTTTTCAGCTGTGATGTGCTTTGATCTTCCTGTAGATCATTATCCCTACTTGGCAATGAGGAATCCAGAATTAAGCAACTCAGCTGAGGTGATCAGCTAGGCCGCATTGCTTAAGGGAGTCTGAACAGCCTTACTGGCCCCGCATAAACCAGGCTGGAGGAAGGACAGGGTGAGGACATGTCCGGGATGGTGCCATTAAGATCCTTCTCTAGGGGAAAGAGAACTTTTTAAAAATAAATAAATAAATAAATAAAAGGGTGCTCTTCCTGACCCCTTTATTGCTGCCACATCTCACATCTATCCCCACAGTAGATTCCCCCAGCAGTAATGTAGAAACACGCTCCCAATCTGGTCCTTTCTCACTAACCCCTCTGCTCTAACCTGGGTCATCCAGTTGGCCCCTGGAGGAGGCCTCCCCACCCCTCTAATACACTCTGTGCCCACCAAGGACACCAGCACGTTGATGACACATGGTTCCCGGGGGGGGTAGTAGGATGGCCAGTTGGTTCCGGATCTTAGCATCTTACCTGGAGAGTGAAGCTTGTATGATCAAATATACCTTCCTCTCCCAGCTCTCCTCCCCCAGCCCCTCCCCCAGGGGCTGTCAGCTTTCTCGGGTCCCCAGCCTGGAGACAGCACACCTGGAAGCTTGGGAAGCTCCTCCTAGCAGGTGACCGTGGCGCCCCATGGCTGCAGGAGAGCAAGACCCCGTGCTGGCTGTCGGACCTCTCAACTCGAGGGTCTCCTGGCTGCCCCCAATGACAGGCTCCTCTGCTTGCTTTTTTACTGTCCGGGCTCAATTTCCTTCCTGTTCATTGTCTGTCCGAGGAGGGGTGTCTGGCAGGCACGGGGGGCTTTGAAGTTAATGGCTGCTTTTATTTCCTCCTCCTGGACTCTGGGGCGTTCCTAGGATCTTGGTCCATTGTTCCACACAGGCCCCTGTTCAGACCGGAAGGCTCCTTACCACACACCACTCCTGAGCTCCCAATTGGGGTTGATGGTCTGCATGGTCACAGGGCATGAGGGCAGGGGGCAGGGGGAAAGCCAGTACTAATAAACATGAAACTCAAACCCAGGAGATCCTCCTCTTCTTCTTCCTTAGAATATCTTAACAATCTGGCAACAATTATATAATATAATAACAATGGGCCCAAATTCTAAAATTGGACAATCAGCGGGTCTCAGAGGAGGTCCTCGTGGATTTGCCACTAGCTCTCTGGCTCTACGTAGTCCCCTTTACTCCCTGTGGCCCTGGCATCTTGGCTGGGATGGTGATTGACCACCAGCCAACTGCTGTTGTCCTCACAAACATTGTTGTTGTCCCCGGCAGAACAACCAAGCTGGGGCCAGTGGGGCCAGAGTTCTTCTAGCCAGCAGATTTCTGTGCCTTTTGTTTTTCTAACCCTCTTGTCTCCTGAGTTTGTGTTCCCCTATCTCTAGGGTTTATACACTTAGGACCAATGACAGAAAGAGAAACTGAGTCCCTAAAGGACGGCTGCTTGTCCCATCCACAGTTTTCAGTGCTCGCTTCAGACTTTAAAGAGCAGCATTCTAGGGGACTGGAATGGTACTACAGCAGATTGAGCACTTGCCTTGCAAGTGGGTGGCCCGGCATCAATCCCCAACATCCCATATGGTCCCCCAAACAACGCTAAAAGTGGTGAGTGCGGAGCCAGGAGTAACCCCTGAGCATTGCCGGGCGTGGCCCCAAAACCATAAAACAAAACAAAAACAGCATTCTAGAAAAGTTCTAGATGCGAGAAAAGATATTAGGAAACACAAATATTAGAGTGATTAATACTTCAGCCATGGTTCTCCTTTTCATGAGTCTCTCAAGGAAAGATCTTCCATGTTATTACGGTAACATGAATCATGAGGTCCGAAGAGCTTACAGATCCAGGGTCACACAGCTCTCTGGGTCTCACTTGAAAAACTGGGATCATAACTACTTACCAATCTGAAGTCAGAGCTAAGAAATTGTTACAGATTCCTATTAACTCTGCCATCCATATGTTCATTATGATTTATCAGTAAATTGTATTAATCATCTTGTCTCTCTCTCTTTCTTTTTTTGGGGGGAGGGGCGGTGTAGGGGAAATACCCAGCAGTGCTTAGGGTTTACTCCTGGCTCTGTGCTCAGTTTGCACTCTTAGTAGTGCTCAGGGGATCAAACCTGGATGGGATACATGCAAGGCAAACACACTACCTTTCAGCTCCAAAACGTCCTAGTTTTTTTTATTTTGTTTGCAAAATGGTCCTTTTTTTTTTTTTGCCCCCTCCTGTCTGGTTCCCAGATCTAATCTAGAGTTTTATCTGAAGAATTTCTAGTCGAGGATCCGAAAGGATTTGGCCAGGGCCCTTTGACTTTGGAGAACACATAGCCAGAAACAGTTTAAAAGGGTCGTCTTGCTTTTTGGTTAAAGACAAAGTGATAAATAAGATTTGAACCTCAAACTTTATGACCCAAATGACTTTCTTCTATCCCTAAAGCCAAACCAGATTCCATGCTTTTGGCCCTGAGTGGGAGAATGTAAACCATTAAGATACTAAGGAAATACTATCTAAGCCTTCAATTTTTCTTTAAAAAAAAAAAGTGTTTTTTTTTTTTGCCACACATTTCTAGTTTATTATGGACAAGGCCGAAACCCCACCTTCTCCACAACAGCAACAAAGAGGTTTATACGCAAATAACTCATTACAAAACAGGTCTGCTTCGGAATTTAAAAAGGACAAGAGGGGAGAATGGAAAAAAATTTTTACATGAGTTTTAAAGCCATATATATATATTTTTTTTTGGATGGGAAAGATTTTTTAATTTTTTTTTTATGTAGGAGTACTGCTATTTATTCAGCCACTGATTGGCTGATTGAATTGGGCAAGAACTCCACCTTACTTTTTTTTCTTCATTTTTTATAATTGTATTTATTGAATCACCGTGAGAGCAGTTGCAAAGCTTTCGGGTTTAAGTCTCGGTCATACAATGAAACACCCGTACCTTCACCAGTGCCCATTCTCCACCCCCAAAACCCCAGTATACCCCAACCCCACACCCTCCCCCCACCTGTAGGGCAGGTGATTTCCACATTACTCTCTCTACTTTGATTACAGTCAATATTTTGACACCAGACCCACCATTATTATTTGGGATTTTAAATTTTTTATTTAATTTTTATTTTAATGATCACCATAAGATATAGTTACAGATTTACAAACTTGCATGATTACGTTTTGGTCATACAATATCCCTCCACCGGTGTCCATTCTCCATCACCATGTTCCCAGTATCCCTCCCACCTCCCCCACCCCTTCTCTGTAGCAGGCACATTCCCTCTTTCCCTCTCCTGGGTGTAAAGGTTTGCAATACAGGTACTAAGTGGCCATCCTGTTTGGTCCACAGCCTGCTTTCAGCACGCATCTCCCATCCCGAGCAAGTCCTCCAACCATCATTCCCCTAACGGTCCCTTCTCTATCCCAGCTGCCTTTTTCCCCCAGCAGATAAGATCAGCTTCCAAGCCCTGGAGCAATCCTCCTGGCCCTTATCTCTACTGTCCTAAGGTGTTAGTCTCCGACTATGGTGCTGGCAAAACTAGACAGCTGCATGCAAAGAAAATGGGCTCAGACCTCCATATAAAACCCTATTTTAGAACAAAAGAAACCAATGACTTGGCGCAGCCCCACTGCCCCTCCCCGAACGTCTGTTCTGAAGCCCACGCAGGCTGTGGCTCTTAGCTGGTGTCCACCCTGGCGTTGTAGGCGTCCATCTATGCGTCCAGCTCCTTTGCGGAAAGCTGCTGCTTGGCGCTCCTGGCCTTGTAGGCGTCCAGCTGTGCGTCCAGCACCTCTGCAGAAAGCTGCTGCCCGGAGCTCCAGGCGCGCCGGCCCCCGCGGGCACCTCTCCAGACCCTGCCGAAGCCTCCGGACCCGCGTTGTCTGGTGGCCCCGGCTCCGTTCACGCTCTGTGCGGGTCTCCGCTGTGTGTCCATCTGGGGCGAGACGAGCTGAATGTTCATGGGGCGGCCGTCCAGGGGGACCCCGTGGTACTGCTTCCTGGCCTCCAGGGCGTCCGCCTTGCGCTGGAAGTGCACCACGGCGGTGCCCAGGCTGCGGCCAGAGCGGTCGTAGTGCACGGCCGCCTTCTTCAGCGTCCCAAACTCGGCGAACAGCTGCTGGATGTCCGAGTCCGACACCCCGAAGTCCAGGTTGGACACCAGCAGCTTCCCGGCCGGCTCCACGCGGGCGCGGGCCCCGACGCCGCTGTCCAGGAGGTCGTGCTGCCACTTGTCCGGGCTCTGCTTGGGCCTGCTGTAGGGCGCCGTCCGGTTCCCGCCACGGCCTTGGGCCAGGGCCGCCCGGTTCGGGACCGGCCCGCGGCCACGTCCCCCGGAGCGGGTGCGGCCGCGGTTCTGGTTCAGCTTGATGATGTCCTCCAGAGACATGTCCACCTTGTCCACCGTGCTGGGCGTGAAATCGGGCCTCTGGCGGGCGCTGAATCGGGCCCCGGCTCTACTCCACGGCATAGTCGGATTTCTTCCCTTACAGCTCAGTCGTGGTGGTAGTTTCAGTCGTAGTCCCAGTAATCACAGTTCTATCAGCCTAGACTCTTTGTAGACCTCAAAGTCCTCTCTGTCGTTCTATCTCCTTCCTCCTCTCGCGGTGGTCAGCTCAGAGTCCTCTACTTCTGGTCACCTGGTCCTCCTTCTAGTCCTTCTCTTTCTCAGTCTCCTCTAGTCTCCTGTTCTTCTCCAAGTCCCAAGTATTCTTCCTACCCCTTTCGGTGTAGTTATATAGAAATCGCGAAGGGTGGGGCTACTAAGGTGGGTCCTTACAGTATCCTAACAACAAACAACAAACAACAAACAAAGCCACACCTTCAGGGGACGTTCTTTTTATTATTATTATTATTATTATTATTATTAGTGAAACACCATGAGGTACAGTTGTAGATTTACAATTTTTTGTTTTTGGGTTTCGATTATACAATGATCAAATACCCATCCCTCCACCAGTGCCCATTTTCCACCACCATGGATAATATCCCCCCCACCCCCATCCCTCCCATCCCACCCTGCCTCTGTGGCAGGGCAATCCCTTGTGTTTTCTCTCTCCTTTTGGGTGTTGTGGTCTGCAAAAGAGGCATTGAGTGGCAAACATATTCAGTCCATAGTCTACTTTTGACATGCATCTCCCCTCCTGGGAGGATCCTCCAAACACCCTCAGGGGACGTTCCTGGAAATTAACTCAAGCACCAAATTTCATCTGAGGCTTCAGCACTCGGGTTACTAGGAGATTCGCTGAAATGTGGGATTCCATCTAGGGTGTGTTGCTTTCTCCTTTCCTCAGCTAGTTATCCATTTAAACAATCACAGTGAATTTACTTCTTACACTATTTCTGGTCATTTTGTATGAACACACTAAGATATATATTAAGCTTAGAGGTTGGCTCTTCCTGGGGACATCTCGCTATATATTTCAGACCACTGTCTTCAGGCCACATTAGTCTTTTCTAACCCCAGCAGGGTCCTTATTCAGTTACTTCTTTGGGGGTCATGACAGTTTGTTCCATGACAGTACCCTTAACTTAATATACTTAAAGCACTTAGCTTGTCTCCTTTCAATGCCAGGGTAGCTTACAGCTTGCCCTGGGTCCATCCAGTCCCTTTGTCAGGACCCTGCTTTTGGAGTGCTGGGAACTAAAGGAAACTGAGGCTTAAGTTAAGTAAATAATGGAAACCCAGCAGTGAATATTATTTTGGAGTCAGTTGACTCTCCTGTTACAAAGCATAGCATGAACTGTCTTCCTGTGTCTATACAAAAAGGACATTGCTAAACCATGCAAGTGATGTAAAGGAAAGAAAAGCAATATAGGATCAGTAGTGCTTGATGGAATTGGGTGTGCCTCAGGGGCACTGTTGTGGGAGTAACTCAATAAACATTAAGCTTCCTGCGGAAGGACCAAGGACAACCCAAAGTTATCCAACAAACTTCTCCTGAAGAATTTATATCACACAGGTCATTCACTGATGTTCTGGCAGCACAAGACTGGAAACAACACAAATGTCCAACAAAAGAAAACTGTGTGTCTGTCACAATGGAGCCATGCTACGGAAATATGCAGTGACTGCAGCTTTGTGGGCACTGCCAAGAAGCACACAGGGGCAGAAGGATGTGTATACTACCGTTGACGGAAAGGAAGGAAAGGCATGCATCTACGTTGTGTAAATGTGTGTAGATCACTCTCGGAAGGAAGCTCTAAGCTCAGGTGATTCTTGGAGAGCAGGATGAGACCATGTAGATTTCACCCTTCAGATTTGTAATGCTAGAACTTGTAAAATCTGAAAAAATAGAAGAAAAGGCTGTTTAGTGCCATATCAATTTTCTTTCTCTTTGTGGGGGCTGTAGGGGGGGATGCCCAACAGTTAATAAGGTTAGATTGACTTCTTTTCCAAGAAATATCAAAAATATATGCATTTTCCCCCTCCGTATGATTCCTAGGAAAATTGTGCTAGAAATTGTTGCTTTAAATCTGTGTTCCCAGCCTGTGAACTCCATCTAATAGGAGTGGGAGGGTGGTAATTGGCTTGTAATAAGCACTTGATAAAGATTTAGTTTTCTAATGAGTGAATGAAAGAATAAATGAGTGATATTTTAACTTATTAGGGGATAGAGCTCGTGGGAGAAGTAACTAATTGTGTTATTCCTTTGCTGTCTACCACGAGAAGCCTTTCTATCTGTAGACAGGGCCACACAACCAAAATCATCAGTTTATTGATGCGAAGAATTTATTTGTTTTTGCTTTGGAGTCACAGCTGTACTCAGGGGCTACTCCTGAATGTGTCCCAAATAACAAAACAAAGAAACAAAAATATAACCAAGAAAGAAATTAAATGAGGAGAGGGGAATAACTCAGTGGCAGGAGAAAAGAAATCAATTAAAAAGCAACCTCCTGTTTCCCAAGCTTGAGGGTGCATGTTTGACCCTCAGTACTGCCCACAAAGGCACAGCCTGGTCCTGGCATTGAACCTCTTCAGCTGCCACACAGCAGGCTGAGAACCACTGGGGCTTCCTGAGGGGGGTTTTGGCGGGGGGCCTAGGAGCCACACTCAGAGATCCTGCCAGATTCTCTGTGAGGGCCCCAGGACCAGGCACTGCTCGGCTCCTGTGGTGTGGGGGCTTACCTAGGCCCACCCAGGGCGATCAGGGGGAGGGAGGTGGGGGGGGGACCTCCAATCTTATCCAGCTTTATTCAAGGAACATCGGGTTCTGAGGACTGAACTGGGCTCAACCATATGCAAGACAGACCTTTAAATTAACCCTGTATTCCCCCACACCCCCCGCTTTTTTTTTTTACTTGTTTTTGGGCCTGGAGCGATAGCACAGTAGTAGGGCATTTTTTTGCCTTGCACGTGGCTGACCCGACCAACTGACCGGGGTTCAATTCTTCCGCCCCTCTCGGAGAGAGCCCTGCAAGCCACCAAGAGTATCTCGCCCACACGGCAAAGCCTGGCAAGCTCCCCGTGATGTATTCGATATGCCAAACACAGTAACAAGTCTCACAATGGAGATGTTACTGGGCCCGCTCGAGCAAATCGATGAACAACGGGAGGACAGTGGTACATCCCCCTCCCACCCCCCCAATTAACTAATATCCTCAGCCTAATTTGTTGAAGAGTTCATCTTTATTTTCACAACAGTGAAATGGCTAAATTCATCATGTGGTTAATTTTTAAATACATTTTATGCTTCTGACTTTCAGCTATTTCACTGATGCTTATCGTTCCCTTCTTGCAGCACCATCACTCCTAATTATAACTTTGCAATGTGTCTTAAGAGGTAAACCAGAGAGATAGTGCAGGGTAGGTGCTTGCTTGCTCACAGACCTGGGTTTGAACGCCAGCACCACACATGATCCCTCAAGCACCACCAGGAGTGATTCCTAAGTACAGAGCCAGCGGTGGCCCAAGAACAAAACAAAAACCAGTAACAACAAAATAAAATTTGGTAATACAGTTCTAAGACCCCATTAAAAAATATAAATTGTTAACTTTTTCTCACAGGCACTCTTTCATTTGAGTGTTAAAAGTGTAGGGGACTGGAGTGATAACACAGCAGGAAGGGCGTTTGCCTTGCACGCGGCCAACCCGGGTTCGATTTCCCAGCATCCCATATGGTCCCCTGAGCACCGCCAGGGGTAATTCCTGAGTGCATGAGCCAAGAGTGACCCCTGAGCATGGCTGGGTGTGACCCCAAAAGCTAAATAAATAAAGTGTTAAAAGAGTAGTTTCAGTCTCTTCCCACCCCATCTACCCACAATCATTAGAATAGTATAAAATAGTCGATTTGGGTAAAATTAGTACTTCCGCCTCCTTTTTCTTCACACCTCCCTATTATGTTTCAATTATCTTCATTAAGAACCCAGAGGAGATTTTTTTTGTCCCCCCCCACCCCAACACCACCCCTGATGCACAGGGGTTATTCCTGGCTCTGCACTCAGGGGTCACTCCTGGAGGCGCCCAGGGATCCTTATGGGGTACTGGGAATCAAACCTGGGTCAGCTGAATGCAAGGCCAGTGCTCTAGTCGCGGTACTATCTCTCTGGCTCCAAGAACCGTGTGTGTGTGTGTGTGTGTGTGAATTTTTTCTAGGGATTTTACACACTGACAAAAGTTTGCATGATTTTTTTTTTTTTAAGATTAAAACAGCTCTTTACAGACCTGTTGGGATGTGGTTCTATGCTGGAGTACATGCCTGACAGGGGAGAAATCCAAAACTGCAAAAACAGCACAAACACAAACAACAACAAAACAACAACAACAATGCTTGCTCTCTACATTCCAATCGAAGTTTATCAAAGATGACTCAATCTTTTGTTTCACCGGTGGCTGAATCAAAAGATTCACTGCTTTGGGCAGCGGCAGCTCACTCAAGTGCTCCTTCTGCCCTTGGCCAGGCGTGTATCCCTTTATTGGGATTATTCATTTGATGACATCCAGCAGGTTAGTTCAATTTTGAGGGAGGTGGGAGGTGGGTTTGCTAGCGTGCTTAAGGGCTATTCCCCCTGTGCTCAGGGGTCCAAGTACGCAAGGAGTGCCTTATCTCCTGTGCGATCTCTCCTCCCCATTATTGTACATTTTATTCCGGTTTACCATCGTTCTCAGGTTTAGGGATTTTGGGGAACTGCACTTGGCCCAAAGCCGGGACATCCAAGGCGCTGGTCCTAGAGTGCTTTTCCGAGAAATTACCTGATTAAAAATAAACAAAAAAACAATGCTTTCCGTCCTTGGGACCCTCTGAAGGGTTTCTCTCCTTGCAAGGGTTGATGATCTAGACTTTGCCACAGTCCAGTGAGAGATACGAGGGAATTTCCCTTAGAACCTGGGGCTCGCGGACAGTCACGAAGGGCGCTTTCGGAGCGTCCGTGGGAACTGCGCGTGGGGACGGACGTCAACCTGCAGGCGCGGCCAACGAGAAAAGGGACACCGAGAAACTCCAGGTGGGACTGCGGGAGGGGTCAGCCCGAGCCGCGGTGACCGAGGCAGGTCTTGGCTGGGGCGTGGGGCCCGCGCGCTCTGCGCGTGCGGCGTCCCGGCGTCCCGGCGCCGAGTGCCCAGGTGAGAGGCAGCCTGGCCACCGGGGCGGCGGCGGAGGGCGGGCAGGAAGGCGAGCCCACGCCGGAGAAAGAAAAGACTCCAGTTCCCAGCCCCCCGCCCCGCGGGGTGCGGGGTCGGCGGCGCATGCGCGAGGCCCGGCCCCCAACTCCCCGAGCGGAGGAGGGAGGCCCCCGGCGGCCCCGAGCCTGCGAGCCGCGGCGCGGCGGGACCCGAGCGCGCGCAGGGGCGCGGCGGCCGCGGGCACCCAGCGGCGGGGGCGCGGCGCGCAGCGAGGAGCGCGCGGCGCCGGAGTGCGGCGCGCTCCGGCACCGGGACCCCCCACCCCCTCCTCCAGCTCGGCCCTGGGAGAGGCCCGGCGTGCGCAGCCCCCCACGCCGGGAGAGGGATGCGTGAGTCTCGCCCCGGGCTCGCGGGGCAGGATGTGGGAGCAGGACAAAGGCTGGGTGGCGGGGGAGGAGTTGGGGACGGCTCGCCGGAGCCCCCGCCTCGGGCGAGCCGGCGGGGCCAGGAACTTTTTCTCCGCAACTTTGGCGAAAAGAGAACAATTCCGCAAGTCGTGGCACGGCTCCCGGTCGCCGCGGGTCCCGCGAGCCGAGGGGAGGGGGCACAGCCACCTGGCCGGGACGCGAGGCGACCGGCTGCGCCGCTGAGAGGGGCCGGAGGGGACACCCGGTCGGGTCCCCGGCCGAGGTTTGCGAGGAAAGAGGTGCCGGAGGGGGGCGGGGGCGCCCCTCCGGCCGCTGAAGTTGCGCGTGTCCACGCAGGGTGCGTCCTGAGAGCCCGGTAGCGTGGGATCGCGGCGCTGCGGACGCGGCGATGGATGAGCCGTGGTGGGATGGGCGCGTCGCCTCGGATGTCCACTGCACCCTGCGCGAAAAGGTCAGTCCCTTCCAGCCCTGGTGGGTCCCAGGTCGGGGCAGCTGGCGTCCCTTGGGTTCTCCGCCCGCTGTTTTCGTTTCCACGTATGAAATCCAACTGTTCTCTCCTGGCCCTTAGCCGACTCCCCGAGCGCCGGGTGCAGAAAGAAGATTTAATGAGGGGTTGCTGGTCTTCAGCCCCTAGCACCCGGCCAACGCACCCTACTTAGCTGCTAAGGCAATGTTCCCCGTAGTCTCAGCGCCCCAGACTGGTTTTGATAAGGGCAGGAGAGGACTTAAACGTTTTGCGTGTGTTTTTATTCTCGTGTGCAATTAAAAAAAAAAAATCTAGCAAGTTCTGCATAAGAGAATCGACACTGAGCTTTCATTTATTGTAACTGTGCTGTAGTTCCTTTTAAAATTAAATTTCTGTGATAAAGGTTGTGACTCCTTAAGAAAACACTAGGCTAATGTAGCATCAGGACTGCATGATTGTGGTGCCCTCCCCCCCCCCTGCCCCCCACCAGACTGAGTTATCTCTTAGCGCCAAGCAGAAACACCAATCCAAAGAAGAGATCACAGAAGGAAGGTAGAAAATATTTCACTTCCACAAGTGGGAGGGGGCTGCTGAAATGTGATTCCCGCCCTCCCTCTCAAAGGGGGCTGTGCTGGCAGGCATCAGAAGGTGGACAATGCCAGTCGGTGAGGGTCTTGGGCCTGGGTGTCCTGCCAGTGCCCCTGGACTGAACCTGGGCAGGGTGCCTTGGAAGACACTTATGTACTGTTTTTCTGGGGCAGCTATGACAGAAGTGCCTCTAACTAGTAAAATAGAATAATGCTGTAATCTTTAGTCAGGGTCTGAGGGAGGGATGCGTGGGCTACACCTGGCGGTTCTTAAAATTTATTCTGGGTTCTGTGCTCAAGGGTCATTCCTAGTGATACTTAGGGATCAAATCTGGGTTGGCTGCATGTAGAGCATAACCTCTGTACATAACCTCTCTGGCTGCCTCTAAGTGCTTTAGCGGGAGCACCCTTCCCAGCATCTGGTGGTGACCAGCACTCCAAGCTTTCCTTGGTTTGTTGGTGCCTCTAACTAGCAGTCTTAACTTTTTGTCACATGACTGTCAGTCTCTCCATTTCTTTTCTTAAAAGAACACCTTTCCTAAATTTTATATAACACCATCTTCAAATTTTGCTGGGGTGGGGCATTACTGGGGTGAGTTATTGGGGTGGTGTTTAGAGATACTCTCCGCTCAGTGCTCTAGAGTCGATCCTGGTTGGTGTCAGGGAAGTGCTTGATGTTACAGCAGTGGTTGGTCTAGACCTTGTAGTGCTGGGGTTTGAATACAGGCGTGTGTTCCAACCCTTTTGGGCTCCCTCCCCTGCCCTTTAATTTATCTGCCAACCCCCTTTTTCCAAACCCGGTAACTCCTGGGGTTCCTTGTAGATGTGAAATTAGGGGAACAGGGAGGGAGAGGTCTTTGTAATGAGGTTCCCGGGACTCTATCCAAACATACCCCATCTCTGTGTCTTTTGTCTATGGACCTCTGCTCCGAAAGTCACCGGTCACTCAGGGTTTCTTTCTTAGGAGTGGCTGTGATCCAGTCAGGTGCTTTTTCTCGTTTTTGCTATCCCTGTATCTCTGTGTTAACTCGCTCTGCTTCCCTTGGTCAAAGAGGAGAGCCACACGCAGCCGGGAAGTCATCCAGATCGGCTGGTTCCAACACGGAACAGGGCAGGTAAAGTGGCAGGCCCCGTAAAGCACTCACATATCTTTCCCAGAGCTTGTGGCAAGATGAAATTAGTAAGATTTGTAAGGCTATCCTGAAAACTAGGCTTCCCTGAGGCTGTAGGCTTATCAGTCCCTCTCTACGAGGGGGACAGGTCAGTTGGGCCACACCTGGCAGTGCTCAGGGATAGGAGTTTGGTGTTGGCTGCATGCAAGGCAAGTACTTAACTAACCCTGGTCCGGTGTCTCCAGCCTGGAATACCCAGAAAACCTATACACAGGTACGAGTGTCCTGAACTTTCTTCCTGCTTCTCAGAGGAGTAGACCAAGCTACTCCCCATGAATTGTGCCTCCCGAGAGCTCTAGTTCCACATGAGATTCCTACTGAACTGCCCATCTCACTGGGAGAGAGGGGTTTGTCCGGGGTTTACCGGTTGGAATTAGAAAAACAGTGCATGGAGGCAGACTGGGAGTATAGCAGGGAGGGCGCTTGTCTTGCACACAGTAACCTACCTGAGTTTGGTCCCTGACACTCCATGTGATCCCCTGAGCATCACCAGGAGTAATCCCTGAGCATCACCAGGAGTAATCCCTGAGTGCAGAGCCAGGAGTAATCCCTGAGCACCACTGGGTGTGGCCCAAAAACAAACAAACAACCCCCCCAAAAAAACAAAGAAAAACACTGTGCTGATACCCAGCTCCACTTTGGACTGAAAGCTGACCTTCTAACACATCCCTTCTCCTGAGTAGAGATAGTAACTAGTTTTCTCCTTGCCGTCTCCTCCCTACTCTCAGAAGTAGTTGTTTCCTAAGAAAATTTGGCTTTGTGGAATTTGGAGAGAGCAGTGAAACAGAGAAGCGCTCAGAGAAGTGCTTGAGGTGTGAGGCCCGGCTCTTTGGTCTTCCCAGGCAGTGCAGTGCTTAAGTAAATGTCTACTCTCATAGTGCATTTCTCAGTGCGGACACCTTCCCGAGTGTCTGGCCCACAGGGGTACTCAGCTTGTAACAAGTGTCGCCAGATAAATACGAAGCACATTTCTCTCAGTGCTGTTACAGTATTTTTCTCACTGAACCTGGAGATTTCCCGCTTGACCGATGCGGGGTACCAGGCTGAGCTCTGAGAGGAAGTGGAGAATCCCACTGTACCAGCAAAGCTTTATAACCTGATACGAAAATGTGGTGCCATGGAAACAAACCTTGGTGTTGGATGCAAATTCATAACGGGTGAATCTGGAGCCACTTGCTTCATCTCACTGCGTCTCTTTCAGTCTGACCTCATATCCCTCACTTTCCACAAAAGCCAGGTCTGAAATTGGGTAACTTCCTTGCTTAAAAGACCTCCAGCGTCATCTGCTTGTCATAGTAAAATTCCCCACTCTTCCTGCTACCTGTCGGACCTAGAACTCCGCCTTCCCTCCTGCCTCCTCCCTGGCCACACTGACCTCCCTTCTCTTCTTGAATAAATCAAGTTTATTCCTGTCTCAGAGCCCTAGAACAGGCTGTCCCCTCGACAGGAAACCCTGTTTTTTTTTTTTAAAGCTTGTATTATACCACTTGAGTTTGACAGATACCCTTTTCAGTTATGAAAAAAAATATGAAGAGGATTATCACTTTCAGAACAAAAGGTACAACATGAAAATAGCATCCTGGTGCTTTAGCATGGCACCTGGGCAGCAGGAGATCCTGCCAAGTCCTTCCTGGGATCTGCATCATACAGACACACAGTGTCCCTGCTCTGCAATAACGTGGTCCACTTCCTATTTGTGTCTGCTTTGTTCCAATCAGGCGTTTTATTTCTAGAATCTGGAAACTCTCAAAATTATTTTCACCAGGGGCTGAAGCAATAGTACAGCAGGTAGGGCGCTTGCCTTGCACGTGGCCGATCTGGATTCGAGCCCCAGCATCCCATATGATGCCCCGAGCACTGCCAGGAGTAATTCCTGAGCACAGAGCCAGGAGTAACTCCTGAACATCACGGGTGTGGCTCAAGAACAAAAGACAAAAACAATTAATTAAATGGTCCAGAGTAGTAGTACAGTGGGTAGGGCGCTTGCCTTGCAATGCAGCCAACCTGGGTTTGATCCCCACATCCCATATGGTTCCCTCAAGCACTGCAAGGAGTGATCCCTAAGCAGGGAGCCAGGATTAAACCCTGAGCATCATTGGGACCCAAAAAAGAAAAAAGAAAAAAAAAAACAAAAATGGGATGAGAGTGGTAGGACAGCAGGGAGGGCATTTGTCTTGCACGCAGCCAACCTGGGTTTGATCCCCGGCATCCCATATAGTCCCTTGAAATTCCAGGAGTAATTTCTGAGTGCAGGGCCAAGAGTAACCTCTGAACATTGCTGGGTGTGACCCCCCCTATTTTTTTTTTTCACTGAGGTCCAGGAAGTACAGCAAGTAGACACTTGCCTTGCATGCACTGCCACAGATTCAGTCTCCTGAACCGCAGAGTTTCCCAAGCCCTGCCAGGAGTAATCCCTGAGCACAGCCGATGTGTCCAAAAGACAAACAAAAAAAATTATTTTCTACGGAAATCAGTAGTAATTGTTTCTTCATTTTATACCATTTCCACTTCTGAAATGTTTCGTGGAAACATTGCTTTTGGATGTCAGGGGATGCAGTAGTTGGAATCTGCTTTTCTTTCTGTTATTATTCCTCTGCCACACTGTCCTGTTTTATTTTCTTTATAGCATTACCGGTCTCTGAGATTATTTTGTTTATCATACACCTCCCCCCACATACACCCACACACAAACACACACACAAACACGCTCACACACATAGTAAATGGTCTATAGGAATAGATCTGTGTCTGTTCTGTCTCTCCAGAACACGTAAGGTGAAGAGTGATTCTTCATTTCTTCCTTCTCCCTACACTAGGGAAACACGCGGTAGGGATGTTAGTAAAGGCGAGAACCCAAGAACCTGGGGAGGTGCGGTAGCCCCCACTTCTCAGTCAGAGTAGGCCTGGGGTTTGCGACAACCCCGCCCCTGGGCTCTGTCCTGTGATGAATCCTCATAAAAGAAGCCAGAGGCTGGCTCAAGGGTCCGAGGCCATCCCCGGCTCCATCTCACGCACCACATAGTTCTCCTGACACAGAGTCAAGCCCTGCTCCTTGCCCCCTGTAGTTCAATTAAAATTGCCTTAAATTTCCCCGCTGCAGCACTGAACCTGGGTCTCCAAGAGTGTCAGGCCCTGAGACTGGTACATTTCTCAGATCATGTCCCAGTCCCTTTTTTTTTTTTTTAATTGAATCACTGTGAGATACGCAGCTACAAAGTTGTTCACA